AGTCATTATAGTCGCTAAAGTCATTATAGTCGCTAAAGTCATTATAGTCGCTAAAGTCATTATAGTCGCTAAAGTCACTATAATCACTATAGTCACTAAAGTTTCATTGTTTTTTTTAAAAAATAGATATATTTAATATCTTTCGTATCCCATTATTTTGTTTTTCTATTTTCAATGGAAATGATCCAATCTTTGATGTATGTTTCAATGAATGAAAAATACTCGATCTTTTATTACTCATTAAATTCCTATTATCAGCCAAATATTTTAATGCTAATGTATTGTTTACTTTTGATGCAAAATCAAGTAAAAATAATCCCATAAATGTAGTCGATGTAGCATCTGCACCTCTTTTAATCATTAATTCGATAATATCCAATGGAAGTCCAAGATAAACTGCTGCAAATAAACAATTTGGTAATGAAGCTCCTGAAATTGTTAATGTATAATCGGGTAATGTTAAATTTGGATCTGCTCCTGAATTTAAAAGTAATTTTATTATTGTGAAAACATTGAAATTTTCATCATCACGTTTTGTTTTACGTAAAATATCTAAACATTGATGTAATGGTGTTAATCCAAAATTATCTGCAATATTAGGATTTGCATTATTTTCTAATAATGCTAAAATTACTCCTGGTTCTTTACGTTTCCATATTGCTTCATGAAGTACTGTCCATCCAAAATTATCAGTTGCATCTATATCTAAACCATTTGATATTAACCATCGTATTACTGATCTAAAACGATCATGTCGAGGAAGTTTTTTGGATCGTTCAAATGATATATCAAATAAATCATCATTCCATACAAGACTATGAAATATTGTTTTTTTCTTATAAATATCTCTTTTCATTAAATCTGCTCCTTGTCTCTTTAATGTATTTAAAACTGGAATAATGCTTTTTGATGGTGAATAACGTGCCATTAAAATTATTTGTGGTTGTCGACTATCAAATAATGATGATGTAGCACGTATCTTAAATATATTAGGATTTATCTCTTCGGGTTTTTCATTAGTTGGAATATGAAAGCTTTGACTTTTTTCATTTAAAACAAAAGGACGTTTATTCAATAAGATTTCATAGCTCGCGCTACGTGACTTTTCCCTGGGCCTACTATTTAATGATGGGTCACTGGCACTCTGAAATACGTAGTAATAGTAAATAATAATGAATAATAGCAAATAATAGCAAATATTAGTATATAATAGCAAATATTGGTATATATTAATAAATATAATAAATATTAGTAAATATTAGTATATATTAATAAATATTAGTAAATATTAGTAAATATTAGAAAAAAAGTGCATAAAGTACATAAAGTATATATTAAGTAAATTAGAAAAAAATTTCAAAATATCACAAAACTAATATTGCTCAACGTACAAGATTTGATCCAAGATTTGATCCAAGATTCGATCCAAGATTTGATCCAAGATTCGATCCAAGATTTGATTCAAAATTTGATCCTGATTGAGTAAAATAACTTGAATTGCTTTGGTCAAGATTAATTTCATGTATTGAATTGCGCCAACCTACAATAAAATTAGATAATAACATTAAATAATATAATAATATAATCATGACATTAAAAATGATAACCGGATAAAATTTTTTTTACCAATTGAATCTACTCGTGGTGAAATAAGTGGAGGAGGATCAAGAGATGGAGACTTTTGTGGTAATTCGAGTTTGAATCGACGGTTAGAATCATGTACAGATGGTATTATATCTATCTTTACAATTTTATCCAATATTTGTTCAGCAGTTGGACGTTTGTTAGGATCTTCACTCCAACAATTCCTATATAGTTGAACATATTGAATAGGAGTACCAGGTGTAATTGCTGATTCTCTATCACCATTCAAAATTAATTGAAGTAAAAGGCGAAAATTGGAACCAGTCAATTCAAAAGGAGGTCGACCACTTGATACTTCATACATAACAACACCTAAACTGTAAATATCAGATCGTTTATCTCGTTGATAATTTCGATCTTTCAAATACAAAGGTTCAATAAACGAGATCATCTCGTTAAGAGTCAATATTCCTTGCTCACTATTTGAAGTGCCAAAATTTGAAATCATCATATGACCATCATTTACTAATATATTATCAGGATTCTGAATTAACAAAATGATCATGGTTAAATATATGAATAAATCAATATTTAATAAATAAATATTTAAATAAATTTTATAATATACATTACCAAATTTCGATGTGAAATTCCTTCATTATGCACATAATGTAATCCTTTACCAATTTCTTCTACAATCCTCTTTTTATCAATCCAGGTAAGCTGTGAGTAATTTTGTTGTAAATATTGTCGTAAGGACCCTCCATTAACATATCGCATAACAAGGAATGTATTATCACTTATCGTGTCTAAAAAAATTTTTTTAATTGTTAATTTTTTTAAAAAAATATATATATGTATTTATTTATTTATTCGTATAATTATAATTATCAAAAGCTCACCTTGACATAAACCCAAAATTTTCACGACATTGGTATGAGATAATTTTGTTAATAGCATCAACTGAAAAACAAAAAAAAAAAAAAAATCAGTGTTATATAATGAAATATCAAAAATCAGTTTATATTTTGAAATATTTAAATATGTTTAACCAACCAACCTCATTTACAAATCGTTCGATAACATTTCGATCAAATTTCTTATTATTAAAATAATTTGGTCTTAACGTTTTTAAACAAACAGTAGTTTGCTTTTTTCCATACGAAGCCAAAACAATTTTACTAGGAATTTGATTTTTTGATAATAAAGGAGTTATTTTTTCAAACGACTCATAATCTATTATATTAATCCGATTTTTTATATATTCATTGTCCAGGGTAGCTTCTCTTGGCAACCCGTTTTTACGTTCCATGCTAATCTGCTAAAACAAGCGTATTGCGTATTTTTATAAGAAATAAATAGAAACAGTGCAAGTAAGATAAGCAAATTTAAACAAGGAAAATGTCCAAAGTATTATAGTCCAAATATATTACTATGAAAGAAAAAAAAAAAGGCAAAAAAAAAAAATTAAAAAAAAATGGGTGAAGGATATTTATTTCTTTTAGCTCATTTTAAATATAAATATAAAGTAAAAAAAAAAAAAAAAAAAAATACACAATTTTTTTCATGCAGTTACACGTATGCAAATATATAAGCCATATAATGAATATAAATTATATAAATTATTTAGTCTATGTTATTTTAGTTATTTTTATGTGTTATTTTAGTTATTTTATGTGATATGTTATGTTATTTTATGTGGCGATTTAAGATCAGTCGCAGAAAAATTCGAGTTCATCCATTTTTAGATCTATACACAACTCCGCACCATTTAAGATTTTTCCGTGATTGGAACAATGGCTCTCTTCATCAAATTAAACAGACCGATTTTGCGCTATTCTCTTGGTGACCATGGGGTATTCCGTATGCTAATGTTCTTGTATATATTAGGTAAGATCTACTTTAGCCTTTTTTTAGTCAAAATGATCCTCACGTTTATGATCATGCGTTTGGTCATCAGAACTCTAAATACGCATATATTCATCCCGAATTAAGTAAAATAAGAGACTTAACGACTTTGTGATAGACGATTATGATAAACGTCTTAAATGATTCGTGCGCAAACTATAGTAAACGTGAAATGATTCACACTACTTACTACGTACACTGTCGAACAATATTTCTACCTACATATTTGTATGCACTTGGTGTGTGTGGCTCCGACTTTATCCTTTTTCGTTAAGATTCTTTCCAAATTTTACTACGTACCTATTGACATGAAATATTTACAAAAAGCCTAGCCTTAATTATGTTATACGTAGCCTTAATTATGCTATCTACATACATACCTAATGAGACTTATTAACCGTATATATCTTATTATAGTAAACCTGTAATACATATATTCATATGAAAATAAACTTTTCCTTGCCACGTGACCAAGCCTATTATACATTCTATCTTTGTACGTAAATTATGTCCTGTCATTCCTTTTTAATAACGATAAGGTACTATCAAATTTTTAGTAACAAGAAATAACAAGAAATAACAAGAAAGTAGACACTAGTCCAAGAAGTCTCTTTATACTGTAGCTGAAAAAAAAAGACAATCATTTCTATTCAAATTCTCTTTGAATTACTTTTTATGCCATACTGTTACCGGTAGTTTTACCTAAATATACAACATACTGACAACCATTAAAATTACCTTGAATAAATGTTTTTTTTTTTTTGTACACCTCAATGGTATCCGGAAAGTTGTCAATAAGGATACTACTGCGTATCTTTATTCTAGGTTAGGAAAGTTCTGATTTTTTTAGGAATAATTTGTGTATGTACTCGTGTGATGTTTAACAATCGGAAATCACCTTGCGTATGTTACATTCTATATTGATATGAGTATATACATTTGTAAAGATCTTGTGTTTCAAAAATTACTATATCTTATCTTTTTATTGTATCATATTTCTTGTACGTATCATATTTGATGTTTCATTTTCAAACCATGATTGATAACAGATTATTGTACATAAAATTTTATAAAACGTTATATATCCTCTTATAGCAATATAAAAAATTTATCATTCGGAACATAGCGGAACTTATTCGGAAGACTCAATAGATCAAATTTTGTGTTTATGATCACATTTATTTTAAAAACTAATGATATAACTCATTGGTCTTCTTTTAACAGATTGCTTTCTAAGTTTAGGCATTTGAAATTTAAACATTTAACTGGCATTTAATTGTGCATGCTTTTCTAATAATAAATTTAATACTTATGTATGTGATATATATCAGATATGTAATTGTTTTTATGTAGCAACCTAGTCGATTGTTAAAGAATGGCAATTTGGATGTTTTTTTAAAAATTTTAAATAAATTTCCATATATTGACATATAATTATATAATATAATTATATAACAGATAATGTAGGATTTGCTAATACGTACATATGTACGTAGTCGCATAAACCCGTACCATTTTGTACTATTTAGGTAATTTTGACGGTTTGAATAAATTGCAAAAATCTAGTACGTATGTACATATGTATCTAAGCCACAAATTATTAATAAAAAAAAGGATTTTCATAATACGTATTGTATCATTTAGCATTATGACTATTGCTAATTTTCAATCATCCACATGTTCTCGTGTAACCAAAACAAAGCGAAGAAAAGGAAAAAATCAAAAAAAAAACTTTAATACGTAACTCAAAATCCTATTATGACAACTATGCTTTGACTTCTAAAGTTTTCAGCGTAAAATTTTACCTTCTTATTCTAATCCAAGGCTAACCCTAACTTCTAACCTTAAATTATTATTTTTAATAAAAAATTTATAATATGAGTTGGGTGAAAATTAGTTATAATCTAGAACATACATATATGTGGAATCTTTGTTAACAAATGACCCTACAAGCTATTGTTACACGAGATTTTATTAGAAAAATCATATAAATCTATTTTTAGATACAGTAACAAAGATCCCATATATATATACGTATAACATAATAAAAATAGAGATTGACACATACGTAGTGAAAATCCTTAGTTGGGTATATCAATCAATCATCCAGTTATCTGGATGTATCGAATTATCCGGTTATCCGGTATAAATACCCGGACCTGGGTACAATGCAATTACAAATTTGTAAATTTGGTTTAAACAAAGCTTCTATATTAAGAAAACTTTTATACGCATTAACGTTAGGCCATATAAAAGTTTTTTAATTTCTTGATTTTTATAACAAATATTTTCTATTTTTATACTTATATATTTATTAGTTTTAAACAAGTATAATAAGGTCTTTGCCTTGAAAATCACCTTCCGACATTTCCGATCGAGATAAAAATAAATCCCAGTGTCAGTCATATTGATGTGTAAATAATCTTTTGCCCTTAATATACTAATATAGATCCAATAGTTTATTCAATGAACTATTGATAACATTTAATTTACTCGGTATTGGGGTCCGAATTATCCCAATCGGAAATATCGGAAATACCGCTGGCCAATCAAATTTCGAGATCAGGTGTAACATGAAAAAAGTTCAACAGTAAAACAAATATAAAAAGTTTTCCTGCAAAATTTTTAGTTTAACTATAGCCTTCTAACCAAATAGCGACATGTTTTTTCTTAGCGAAAAATTTTTTTTCTTGGTTTTGCAATAAGATCACATAATGTGCGAAATTTTTAGACTGGTGATACTAGGTTCATAGATTTTCAAGGCAAAGACCCACATAATAAAAATTAAATTTCATTACGATTACATAATATGTAAAATACGTAGAGATTGACCCGTGGTGAAAATCTTTAACCGGGTATATCAATTATTCAGATAACCCTGGTCACGGATACAATACAATTATTACAACCTTGTTTTTAAAACAAAGCTTCTATCTAATTTAGAAATTTTTTACGTATATTACAGTATTAGGCCATATCGATATCGATATAAAAAGTTTCAACTTCCTTGCTTTTTATATAACATGAAAATCTTAAAACAGGCAATCATCCGAATACGCATAAGCCAAAATTTCCTATTTTAGACTTATATAGTTTATATATTTGTTAGTTTTATTAAACAAGTATAATAAAAAAAGTAGTAATATTTATTTTTAGTAAATTTTCTAACCGAAAATGAAGTTTATAATGTAATACGTATTAGTATTGTTAATTTTAAATTTAAAAATCATAACCGGTGGTGATTATCACAGGGGTGTAATATCTCAAAAACGGGACGGGACTAAGAAACAGGGGCCAGATATACTACGTACGTAAGTAAAAATGTAAAACCTAATTATAACTAAAATTCTAACTAAAAATTTGAATCTTTATACGTATCTGACCCTTGTCTTACTAAAAATAGATGCAGCGATAGTGATTTGTACTAAAATTCAAATTTAAAATTGTTTTCATAATATTATTTAATTTTTAATAATTTTTATTCACAATATAAGTAATAGTCAGTTTATACGTATTACACATTATAAATCTACCTTTGCTATTACTGTATTATATAATTTTAATTAACAATGATTATTATCCGTTTCACCAAATAACAAAGTTATTTGAATTACCATCAAAACAACTCAAAGTCATCCCGATGGTCCAGTCATCGGATAATACCGTTATTGAACGCTACGTACCAATAACTTACTTATCTGACTTTGAATTTAACGTACCATTTCTGATAACTATATATTATTTGTCTATTATTGTGTTATTATTATTAAAAAAAAAATATTAATACTAACAAATACTATAAATATTATTTATTTAAAAAGTTATTATCGTTATAAATGATATTTACAATTACAATTAATTAATAACACGTATGTACGTATGCAATATAAGTGATGAGTTTATTTTTACTCTCTGCAATCTGATTGGGTCAATTAGGTCACCTGAGTTATTCATTTTACAAATAAACAATAACAATAAACGGTGAATTTAATGCATATCCAATTTCTATTTTAAAGTTTACTATATATTGTATTAGAATTACTGTATTTAAAATAATTTCATGTGGTTTCGAAATAATATTCATGAACTTACCGAAATAATACGTACGCGTCTTTATCAAATGATTTATAATCAAGATTAATAATTGATTTTTTATATTACATAAATATATTTATAAATGCTATAATTGAAAAGGAGCGGTGGGAAAACCTTTAAGCCTTATTCTTACGAATTTAGCTGATATCCGGTCCTGCCTTTGTAATTATGATAAATTTAGGCCATCCTTCTATAATATTAATCGACAACTCACTCATTGATCATCATTAATTTTTTTTTTTTTTTTTTTGCAAAAGCAAACTGTTCAAAAATCGGTTCATAGTATATTTGACATCATGCACAAAATTCTATTATAAACCGTTTAATTAAGTTGACTTCTGGCGTAGTTTTAAAGCGGTCGGAAATTTTATAATATAAATATATTGCGGGAGTTTATAAATTTCGTTTACCGAAAAAAAAGTAGATTACGACACGCCGAAATTTTGTGCCCTGATTGGCATTATTCTATTCATCTAATTTAGTCATGATCATTGTGATAGATTTCATTTTATGATCATCTGTAATGAAAATGAAAATGTAAAGTGCAGAAGTGGGATTAATTCTATCCTAAAATTGTGATTTTTATTAAGAAATTCCAAATTACATTCTCAAAAACATACCGAGCAAATAGATGTTCATATATAATGAACCCTGACTGTATTTTATATCAATATGGAAAGTGTAATGATTTTCAAAAAAAAACACTAATTTTGTACTACAATAAGTTTTTTTTAGAACTATTCGTTTTTTATTATAAGTATTATAAATACAAATTTACCCTTTACAATTATTTATTTTGGGTTAGTGATAATTTCGTTTCTTGAAACAAAGAAAAATAAATTCAAAAAAACAAAAGTAGAAAAAAAAATTATAAAAATAAAAATAAGCCTCAAAAGTTCAAAATGGTTTTGGTCAATATCTCGAAGATCAAAATCCTGAAACTTAGTTATCGCTTCGTGTGATGTTGGTGATATAATATTTAATGGTAAGTAATAATAATTACTAAGTTTAAATATTATCGCACGACGCGATAATCAAATTTCTGGATTTAAAAAAAGAGATCATGTGATTTTGTCTCAGGGCTAATAATTAATTGACATGTTATTTTCTTGATCAAATACTTGAAATAAACAAGGAGAAATATACTAAACTTGAAAGATGAATATCAGAATATATTAATAAATCCGATCTAGAATGTAAACAGCATTAAGCGAATATTCAATAACTTCTAACCCACAATGATTTAATTAATAATATTAAAAAACTTCGTTTAATACTTGATATTCAAGAATAGATAACTCATAAATTCTTAGATGTGTTTTGCATGTTTAGTATTTGGACATAAATTGAATTACGAATGGCTCAAATTGAAAAATGACATGAAATAACAGAGACTACTTTATGAATTGTCTAATCGCGCGCATTCATATGAATTTATAAAAAGATGCTACTTAAAATTATCTATTTCATACATTAAGAATGCAATATTGGAACCACCTAAAATTTTTCTTAATCATTTAACTGTTTAATTTGGTCGGTATTAAAATAATTCCGGCCCGTAACCAACATAATTCTGCCCGGAACTATGGAGCAATTTTTAAACGATTAAACGGTTCCAATCCCCTATATGTGTCGTATGCCCAATATGTTATCCGATAGTTTATGTGACCGTATGAAGTTTTTTCTGTGATATTTTGCAAAAAATATCATGACAAAAAAATTCACATGTTCATATTAAAGTTTAATACTTGGTACATATTTTATTCACGAGTAAAAAAAAACCTGATGATGATAATCTTTAGCTGACAAAATTATGCTACAGGATTATGTAATTCGTGCATTGCATAAATTGGTTTACTTAATCATATGAGTGACTGAGATCCTAAAATTAGATCTTCACGCGTTAATTCTGGTCAGGTCCTACTTTAGATATCTAAAGTGGGTACTTTAGGTGGTTATGTAACTAATTCAGATCTAACATTTTACACTTTTCTTATAGTATCATCGAAACGCACATAGTACTAACTGTGAATATTAATGAATCTTCGTTTTCACTTTTTCGTTTTATTGGTATAGATAAAGGTGGATCTATTGTTAAGATCATGTGCTTCAAATTTTGTTAAACCAAATCCATCTATTTGCATAAACTTTCTACGTATTACATAACGCGACATGTGACACTTATTAGCATCTGTCTTTAATACAATTAAAAATTTCAAAGAGTTATATATAGAAATGTCGAGATACCGAAAATTCTATAGAAACTACAAAATTATATTATATTATATTTATTGTGAATCTTGAATACACGTATATATTTTAAAAATAACACAGAAATCTAATGAAAGACATACGGGCTTAGTTTTATAGCACACTACCAAGTATCATTAATAATATTTTGAATATCTGATATACGAAACCGTACGAAATATGATACAATAATATTTTACATATAAATGGAAGTTGCACTTAACTGTTTGATCGCAAGATAAAATTCAAAATAGTTGTCCAAAATCCCATTGGTAACTTAATTAAAGCTCTGAAAAGGTCTTTTTGTTTTGTTCCAGAAACATTACTTACTATTGCCGTAAGTAAATTGAACTGGATCATTATCGATATAGTGAGGTTTCATAAGAATGCTTACTAACGCTAATCCAACTCTATAAATACTCTGATATAGTGATGAGCATATTAAATCGATAGGTTTCATATCAACATGAGTGACGAAAAGGAAAAACCTGTAAACCATTTAAAAATCGTTCATCTTACCCCGATGAAATTGATTCCGCAATGATTAAATGTGACAGAATACTTAAAAGTTGTTCGTTCTAGTCACTTCAATAAAATATACTTTAGTTACCAAAAGGGAAAAATATTATACGACAGGTGAAACTTGCACTGATACTGGTTAAATCCGTTATGTAAATTTCATGAGGGTGAAATCCGCGTTAAACATAAAAAAAAAAACACCATACTAACGTGGATTTCACCTAACCTGATGATAAAGCGGTTTTACTAAAATTTAGCATGGGTTTCACCTGAACCTAATATTTTGTACGCTGAAATTATACGATTTGGTGTCTTTTTTAAAAAGGAAAACAATTGGTTTTAGAACTAACCAAATAAAATCTTTTTTTTTTTCAGGGCCCAATCCGGTAAGGTGAAAGTTAGTAAATCAATTTTTCTGTCACTCATAATATGATATTAAACGTCATCATAACAAAAAAGCAATGATCATCATAGATACGCGGTCAATCAAACCGAAGAATTCACTCGGAATAAGGACGTTATCAGTTATGTGGTCTAGTCTTAGACTAATGACTACAATAAGTCATAATACCAGACCGGTCTGGACTAACAAAGGCTTAAGACTGTGGACCATAATAGATCAGCCAGGACTGAACCAGACTAGGTGAAATCAGAATGTTAAACGCCGAATTGTTATATTATTCGTACGTACGTCTTATATATATTTCATTATTTATTTGCAGGCAATGTGTATGTCGCATTTGGAATAGTTATCTATCTGAGTAGCTGCTTTAATAGCACCTGACTGAAATTAGGCTCCCAGAATTTAGGCTCTCATGTATTAGTTCTTGATCAAGTGCTACTTTAGGTGTCTAAAGTGTCTAAAGTGACTACTTCGGATACAGCAAAACATCTAGTCGCGTCAAAATCTGCGCTACTTACCAAAGTAATTTAAGGAATATAAGGGACACTTGAAGAAGCGTGAACCCCTTATATCACATTTTTATATAATCACATTTATATATATACATGTGATTATAACGTATTCAGCTAGTAGAACAAACCCTAGCCCTAACTCTATAAATGTGATCATGTAGAAATGTGATATAAGGGGTTCACGCTTCTTCAATCTACCCGAATATAATTTAATCGTATCTTCCCAACTAATAATTTAAATTTACAAAAAATAAATAAAGTACAGTACTTATTGAGATGTGATTTTGGATGTCTTTAGATGATTTGTACCATATATCGATATCGCTTTTGCTGGCAACACGAAGATATGTACTTTGTTTTCACAACATGGATATACTTAGTGGAAAAATCCAAACAAATCCTAAACTCTAAAAAAAATTTTTTTTCACTTAGGCAAGTCACACCACTGTCATTTTTTTTTAAGGATTTTTTATAAAACTACACAATATTAATTTTAAAATTTTGTGTCTAAGTGGATCCGCCTGAAGAGGTTATCCAGTCATCATTCTACAATTAGATATTGTCAAATTGATAATATCCTTCTATTAGAGAATTGAAAAGAAAAAAACAACTAAACTAAAACTAAAACTAAAAAAAAAAAGAATTAGAAAGCATATAAATGTTAGTAACTAAATGCATAAAACATATAGTGAAGTGTATAAAAACATTTAGTAACAAAACCAATTGCTAGTTAATTTAATTTACTTGGATTTAATTTTATAATTGAAGTAAATCAGTCAGACATTTTATAACTCATCTTTTAAATATAAAAATTTTATACAAAATAATTATTATTGGTCGTTTCATTAAGCGTGATACACCAACTTGATACATTTGAATTAAATGTAATTATATAAAGTTTTATATATTATTACATATTGTTTAAAAAATCTCAAAGTTGGTTAATTTTTTTTAAAAAAAATAAAAAGTTAAAAATTTTTGACATATTTTTAAATTAACCAATCATAATTAAGTATTTTTCTGTGCTATACGCAAGTACTTTGATGTAGCCTTAGTGTATAAACCTGCAAAATTTTAACTATAATTATTATGTAAAAAAAAAATTATAATAAAAAAAAAATTGCCTATTTAAATTAGTATATTATATAAAAAATTGATTTTTACTAAAATGCATCTATGGTAATTTTCATTATAGGTGAAAACCATTTATAGTAATTTTTAACTCATAGTAGTTTTCACCTATAGTATATAAAACACTATATATTTATTAATAATATATATATGCAATTTATTGAAATACAGTACAAACTGTTATATTTAACAATATATTTAGATTCAGATTAATACACTATAATACTAATAATTATAACTTAAGAAATTTAAACTTTTTAACTTAGAAATTATCCTTTCTAAATACTGTCTAGTTATATATATAGCAGGATATATGTATAAAATTAAGTACTATAATATAAAAAAAATTAAATATATATACTTATATATGTATGTATAATATTATTTATCTTATGTAAAGAGTTAAGTTTATAATAATTAGACCCAATATACAAGGCAGATTATGGTATCATTCACAGCTATGCAAGCAGAGCTTTAAATAATGAATGATTTTGTAGAAAACAATCCAACCTTTTAAGTTCCTGTTTTTAATATTTTATCTTCTGAAGAACAAATACATGTTGCAACAAATTTCTATTACTATATAACCTACCTATCATATATTATTATATAATATTCAGAGAATTTTTATTCTATTTTTGAAAACATTTCTTCAAGCATAGTCTTAATATATCTATTAATCAAAACAAAACTGAGTTACATATATATACTAATCACTCAGATCCTATTCTACCTAAACATTATTCTATCCAACTTTTTTAATATAAATTATACAAATATTTATTTTTATTAATAATATTAAACAATACTTTATCTTATATTTGCTTATTCTTACTTGATTAACTGTTCTTTACTAACTCATCTTTAACATCCTTATTTACTAATTTATCATTTATTTCTGCATCTAATTATATAGCTTTCTGATTAAAAATTATTTCTGAATTTATATCTTCTAACTTTTATCTTAATAATTATATACAATCTACTTCTCAATTACTAATAGCTAAAATATCTATACTTAACTTATACAAACTACTTTATCTGTTAATATATATATATATAATACATAAGGATATAATAATAACTTAAAACAACAAATATAGAAAAATTACTATTTATCTTATAACATCAACATTACTAGTATTGTAATAAAATTTACTAAAAACTATCAAGTTGTAGCAAATTTTAAAATGATGAAGGTCAAGTGGAAGATCTTTTATTTAAAGAAAAATAA